TTTTCTCTCTCTCTGTCTCTCTCTAATGGAAGAAAGAAATGAATGAACGTTTTTAAAAATGACTGGGACATCCCCACAATACCCTTGGGACCTTCAACTCTAAGTATTGCCGAGTTCCTGTCTAGTATTTCCACTAGTAGTGTTGTTTAGTAGCATCGTTTTTTCCCCCCACCAAGCCATGCAAAACTGAGGAGAGAGCTCCTGAGTCAGGGAAGAAACAAATATGGCTTTTTTTCTTGTCAACAACAACAAAATATTGGGCTGTCAGAAAAGTCGTGAAGTATTTCTTCTATGTTTTTCTATGCGAAAATGTGTCATGACTTTTCCGATAACCCAATATACTAATTTAAGACACCACCTGCTTTGCTCCCAGGCAGACATAGAAGAATATAAAATATGCTGTTACGAGGTGCTTCATTAACTAGGGAGGGAAGGGTGGTGGCTTTGATATAACCCTCTGCCTAAGATGTCTTCACTGTTGTCTAGATTTAAGAAAACAGTGAGGGAACTTTGAATAACTGCAAGAATATCACAGCAATAGCATATATCTACTCCCAATTTCCCACTCACAAACAGCCAGCAAATTTCCAATGGTTTAAGAGTCTTGATTTGGGAGACTTTTGTTCTATGTAGACCGAACACACACATAAAACATCGTACAGAGCATGCTGACAGTAAACAGTAAGCACTGATTCTTGCTTGTATTCTTCGAGTTGTACACACATTAATAACACTTCCTTAACTTATCTTCTAGCAAAGGAAGTTCTTCATCAAAACTGTCGATGTAAGGAGATTGTGAATAATAATCCGAGCTGGATGTTGGCTGAAAAAGCTGTCCTGTGTAACCGGAGGGCATGAGCATCTCTGGTGGAATGAAAGAAGTAGCCTGAGGCTGCTCACTGGCTTGTTGTCTAGAAAAAGAAAAATATTGATACTTACATATCTAAGAAAGGAAAATCAGGACAAATCAAAGGAGGAAACCACGAGTTTCTCTTTATGAATTGATCTACTTATTATGAGTATACATAAAAGAAGTAACTTGTTCAAAATTGAACTTTAATTCAAAAAAGTGAAATAACTGGTCATGAAGAATGATTACACAAACTGAACTACTTGGCTGTCCACAATGTGCTGAACATTTCCCACTTATATTCTGTTAAAAGTGTTTGTAAGAGAGGGACCAACAGTTAGCATAATGGCTATGTTGCTGAACTCCCATGTTGTTGACTGCGGTTCAAGTCCCAGACCAGGTGGCTTAAACTCACACCAGACGCGTGTGCGGGCGCGCCCAAGATCCCAAGGGGGTAATGGAGGAGAAGGGATTGCAGCATGGCCATCCCACCTGGGGGGTGATTTCTCGCTTTCTGTCTCTCTGTCTCTCTCTTTCTGGCGAGTGCACATGCCCTATAGCAAAAACGTCTCCAAAAAAAAAAAAAAAGAAGTGTATGTAAGAGATGGCCCATCTGTGGGGACACAGGCTGCTGAGACAGTCTACTCCACAGGCTGGAACTCCATGGAAGGCCTGGCTTCAATTTCCAGTCTAACCTAAAGACCAGGTGCCATGTCATGTGCTTGTAATCCTAACCCAGGGAGGCCAAGGCAGGAGGATTACAAACTCAAGGCTTACCTGGCCAGCACAATGACATTCTGGGGAAAACAAACAAACAAACAAACAAGAACATGATGGCACATAGCTGTAGTAACAGCTGAGAGGCTAAGAGAAAAGGATCACAATACACCAGTGAGACTCTGACTATATAAAAACAAAATAAAATAAAAAACAGAAGTTCGAGGGCCAGCAAGGTTGCATGGTGGTTAAGGTGGTGAACTGCCACAGGATCAATGTCATGGTTCGAGTCTTGGACCCGGAAGGTTGAAAATCAGGCTGGGCATATGTACACATGTGTCTAAAATCCCAAGAAGAGGACGGAAGAGAAGGGATCGTGGTATGGCCATTCCTCTTGAGAGCTGATTTCTCACTTTCCCTCTCTCGGTCTCTCTCCAGGTAGTGCACACACCTTATGGCAAAAACCTAAAAAAAAGAAAAGGAAAAAAAAAAGGTCTGTCAGGTTAAAAACTGTATTTATTTGATAAATTTACTTATTCTGTTCATGATATAAAGCATGTGAGAGAGAGAGAAGGAAAGATACCCTTGGCAGGGTATTGTCATGAGGGGACCCTCCTTGACAGGATCTTGGGCATGCCCTGGAGAGGTGCTTATAAGACAACCCGGAGACCCAAACCCATAGTTAGTCACGTGGTTTCCAGCACTGCAATTCAGTGTGCTGCTACCAGGTTGGGACAATTGTATTTGATATCCCATTTTACAGGAAAAGAAAGAGGCTCACAGATTCTCAGTGACTCTCCCAGTACCACCCAATCACACTGCTGGCATTGCACCTACACTAAAGCTTCCTGAGCAGTGCTTTGCTTCCTACGCAGTGTGGCTTTTTCACTGATCTTCCAGGGCAATCACATACCATTAGGCCCCTATCAATCTGTGAAGGCAGCAAGTAAAAATTAGATTTCTAACGGTAGAGTCAACTCATAGGGAAAAAAATAATACGTAAACTAACTGCTTTTCATGAAGAAACACACTTTCCTGTTCTGGCTGTTCCCAGACAATTATTGTCTATTGAATTATCTTGAGTACCTAGCTCAATGTACGCTTTATCTGGCTTTAGCGTCCCTCATTTGAAATGCGCAAGTGAGTTGCCAAAGCATGATGTCTCAATATATCCTCAGCTTTTTATTTTACCACTTGGGTGAGAAAATTAAAAAGCAACAATCTTTGTGAATAACTTCTTGTTATAACTAGACAAAGAAAGGAAAACGAGGGAGAGCATAAGAGGTTAAGTGTACATTTAAAATTGATTTTACCTGAAAAAAAGGGAAAAAAAAAATCAAGAGTTGTGTTAACATATTTAAATTTCTTTCTTTCTTTTTATTTTTTTTTTTAGCGCTTTTTGCTATAGGACCCGTGTACTTGCCAGCAAGAGAGACAGAGAGCCGGAAATGAAAAAATCGCTCCCCAGTGGGGATGGCAATGCTGCAATCCCTTCTCCTCCATTCTCCTCTTGGGATCTTGGGCACGCACGCACATGAGCCCAGCATGAGTTTAAGCCACCAGGTCTAGGACTCGAACTGCAGTCGAGTACATGGGAGTCCAGTGACACAGGCATTATGCTAACTGCTGGTCCCTATATTTAAATTTCTTTACCGAAACACCTTTGGGCTAAGCCAAACATATAATCTAAGATTCTGAACTTTGTAACTGCATGTGATCTCTTTATGTGAACTTGGCTTTTAATACTTTGCTTTCAATATTAACCTTAATATAAAAACCCAAGACTAACAAATTTGATCTTCTTTGTGTGAGTAGCCCTGAGAAAATATCAATTTTGAAAAACACCACCGCAATAGAGAGATACACAGTGGTCATTCCCTGATGGGGATGCAAGCTCCTTAAAGTTAGGACCTAGCATGGAGGTGCTTTCTGAATCACTGTAGCTTATGCTAATTAATATTATTTTTCTTTTAGTCATGTGGCTTATTCCTGAATTCTTTTTTTCTTTTTTTCAGCAAAATAGGTACACTACCAAAGCTGGTAGTAGGCCAGCAGGTGGTTAAGGAGGCTGGATGAGTCTGTGGTTTTAAGTCCAAATCCCATAAGCTTGAAAACCATGCTGGGTGCCCTAAATCATGAGAGGAGAATCGATAAGGAGTTACAGTGTGGCTATGCCCTATAAGGGGTGATTGGGTGATTTCTACTCCTGTGCTCCTGTCCCTGACAGACACAAAACTAAAAACAAACAAACAAACAAAAACTGGTAGAAACAATTTACGAATAACAATCAGAATGGCTTATTAAATGATAAAATACCATGAACACGTTTATTTTCAATGTAATTCTTTTTTTTTTTTGGAGAGGTTTTTGCAATAGGGCGTGTGCACTCGCCAGAAAGACAGAAAGAGACAGAGAGACAGAGAGACAGAAAGAGACAAGTCATTCCCCGGGGGGATGGCCATGTCGCAATCCCTTCTCCATTCTCTTCTCGGGATCTTGGGCACACACACACACACACACACACGCATCTGGTGTGAGTTTAAGCCACTGGGTTCAGGACTCAAATCGCAGTCAACTACATGGGAGTCCAACGACATAGCCATTACACCAACTGCTATTCCTATCAATGTAATCCTTTTTAAAGGAATAAAAGGGGGAGATAATAATTATTTAGAGATCAGTGTCTAAAAATACTATGACACTGATACACTGGCCTGGCATCACCACAACGCATTCCCGGGGCCCAGCTTCTAACCAGGCTGAAGGATATGAAACTTTCGGTTATTATCTTCAGAGCAAACTCTAAAAGTCAGGGTACTTAGCATTGTACCTAGAATAGGCACTTTGCTTTTTCAGCTAACACTGACTTTGTTCACATTGACTATAACATTTAGTGAACAAAATCCAAGCAAAACCAAAATAGTCACATTATTAGTCCACAGTCTTACCCAGAAAACTCTATAAATAACCCAATTCTCAAAGTATGGCCTGTTTCCAAAAATTTCTATAAACCACTATTTTTTTTTTTGAGAGGTTTTTACTATAGGGTGTGTGCGCTCGCCAGACAGACAGAGAGAGACATAGAGACAGAAAGTGAGAAATCACCCCCCAGGGGGGATGGCCACGCCGCAATCCCTTCTCCTCCATTCTCCTCTCGGGATCTTGGGCACGCACACACATGCGCCCAGCATGAGTTTAAGCCACCAGGTCTGGGACTCGAACCACTGTTGACTACATGAGAGTCCAGTGATGTAGCCATTACACTATCTGTTGGTCCAAAACCACAATATTGTTAAACACATGTCATAAATCTGCACATCTTCTGACACTACCCTTTTTCATTAGATGGCGCCAACTCTTGGTGGCTATGCTAAAAAGTTCTCTTTCTTTTTCCTACCTTTTTAGATGTAATTATGGGGTGCAGTGTGATTTTTCACTACATAAACTGATGTATAATTATCAAAACAGGAAAAAAAAAATATCTATCATCTCAAACAATTTTAATTACTTTCATGTCGCGAGCATTTAAAATCCTCTCTTTTAGCTGTTTTGAAATATACATTGAATTTTCACCACCTACATGTACTCTACTGTTCTATAGTGCTCTAGAAACTACCATAATGTTGTCCATGATGACTCCACTTATATACTTAAAATTTTATTTCTGTTAATAAAGTTCTTATCTTCACCTCTCTCCTCTTCCCAGCTTCTGGTATCTACTGTTCCACTCTCCACTTCTATGTAATCAAATATTTTAGCTTCCCCTAGTGAGTGAGAACATATGGTATTTGTCTTTCAGTGACTGGCTTATTTCAGATAGTATAATATCCCACAGATTCATTCCTATTGTCGCAAATGACAGCAATATGGCTGAGTAATATTCCATTGTGTACATACAAACGATGTTTTCTTAATCCATTCATCAGTTTATGAACAGTTAACTTGATTCCATGTCTTGTCTATGATGAAGAGTGCTGCCAGGCACGGGTATGTGCATGCCCGAGATCCTGAGAGGAGAATGAAGAAGGGATTGCAGTGTGGCCACCCCACCAGGGGGTGATTTCTCACTTTCTGTCTCTCTGTCTCTCTCTGTCTTTCTGGTGAGTGCACGCGTCCTATAGCAAAACAAAACAAAACAAAACAAACAAAAAAACAACTCTCCAAACAAAACACAAAACAAGGAGTGCTGCAATAAACATGGGGCTGCAAATATTTCAATTTATTGATTTCCTTTCCTTAGGATATATACTCAGTAGTGGGATTACTACATCATAATGTAGTTCTATTTATAGGTTTGTTTGTTCATTTGTTTTTTATAATGCCAGAGGGATACAAGAGACAGGG